AATGGCACCTGTTTGAACTTGTTATCAGTATAAAAGACACCTGTCCACAACCTCAAACAGTCACACTCCAAACTCCACTATGGTGAAGGACACCAGAAACAAAATTGTAGACCTGCACCAGGCTGGGAAGACTGAATCTGCAATAGGCAAGCAGCTTGGTGTGAACAAATCAACTGTGGGAGCAATAATTAGAAAATGGAAGACATACAAGACCACTGATAATCTCCCTCAATCTGGGGCTCCACGCAAGCTCTCACCCCGTGGGGTCAAAACGATCACAAGAACGGTGAGCAAAAATCCCAGGACCACACGGAGGGACCTAGTGAATGAACTGCAGAGAGCTGGGACCAACGTAACAAAGGATACCATCAGTAACACACTACGCCGACAGGGACTCAGATCCTGCAGTGCCAGACGTGTCCCCCTGCTTAAGCCAGTACATGTCCGGGCCCGTCTGAGGTTTTCTAGAGAGCATTTGCATGATCCAGAAGAGGATTGGGAGAATGTCATATGGTCAGATGAAACCAAAATAGAACTGTTGGTAGAAACACAACTCGTCATGTTTGGAGGAGAGAGAATGCTGAGTTGCATCCAAAGAACACCATACCTACTGTGAAGCATGGGGGTAGCAACATCATGCTTTGGGGCTGTTTCTCCGCAAAGGGACCAGGACGACTGATCCATGTACAGGACAGAATGAATGGGGCCATGTATCGTGAGATTTTGAGTGCAAACCTCCTTCCATCAGCAAGGGCATTGAAGATGAAACGTGGCTGGGTCTTCCAACATGACAATGATCCCAAACATACCGCCCAAGCAATGAAGGAGTGGCTTCGTAAGAAGCATTTCAAGGTCCTGGAGTGGCCTAGCCAGTCTCCAGATCTCAACCCCATAGAAAACCTTTGGAGGGAGTTGAAATTCTGTGTTGCCCAGCGACAGCCCCAAAACATCACTGCTCTAGAGGAGATCTGCATGGAGGAATGGGCCAACATACCAGCAACAGTGTGTGCCAACCTTGTGAAGACTTACAGGAAACGTTTGACCTCTGGCATTGCCAACAAAGGATATATAACAAAGTATTGAGATGAACTTTTGATATTGACCAAATACTTATTTTGCACCATAATTTGCAAATAAATTCTTTCCAAATCAGCCAATGTGATTGTCTGTCTGGATTTTGTTTCTCATTTTGTCTCTCATAGTTGAGGTCTACCTATGATGAATTACAGGCCTCTCTCATCTTTTTAAGTGGGAGAACTTGCACAATTGGTGGCTGACTAAATACTTTTGCCCCACTGTGTGTGTGTGTGTGTGTGTGTGTGTATGTGTATGTATGTATGTATGTATGTATGTATATGTGTATATGTATGTATATGTGTGTGTGTGTATATGTGTATATATATATATTATATATCTATATATATATATATATATATATATATATATATAAAAATCACTTCCCAATCCACAACATACTCCAACTTCGTAGTATAGCTCGAATTCACAGTAAGTGAAAACATGCCAGTACTCAAGATGAGAATGGAACATGTACATCTGGTAGAGTAATGTAATAAGCAGACAGACCACAATAACCATAGGAGGCATATATATCTCATATGTGGTTTAACCTCTCTAGAGAGAGGACATTTAGCGTCATACTCTAATGAAAATGCCAAAAAGCCATACCAGTCTGGAGCACTTCAGATGTGTTGCGTTAATGAAAACCCACCACTATCCTGGTGTATATGCTGCCAATGATGTAGAACAAGATATGCCAATTAATAGCCCATCTTATAGTCTATGTACCTCCCAAGGAACTGCCCAAAATTAACCAGCCTCAAACTGCCCACCAATCCAATGCTCAGTGGCCATTAAGGGGCCAGAGGAAAGGACGGTCTTTCCCCTGTGGGAGCCTGTCAACAGGTGATATACAGTAACTGCCACTAATACAAACAATCTCACCGCCATCATTCAGACATGTGGACCAAGCAAACTGGAAACCAAAGATGGCTGCCACACTGGAAATGACGTCACCGCGCATGAACGTGATGACGTCAAAACGTGTGTGCAATGGCACACATGCTTAAGTTCAGTGTACAAATAGAAAAACCTGCCATAGATGGTAAACATAAAAAGGCGGCAGACAAATACATAAACTACAATAAGGTATGACCACCAACTGCTCACAAATCCAAAGGGGGCCTGGTTCACATAGAAGCAAGTCATCCTAAGTAAAATCGAGAGAAAACTAAAATAAAGACATGACACCACAACAACAGGACAACAATATAAACTCCAAAAGAGAATAACAAAACAAAAAAAAAAGGAAATGAGAATGTGATGAAATTCTTGGAGTTGATGTACACCATCTCGAACCTAAAAGCTCACAATCTTCAAAGATACATCAACAATGAGATTTTCTTATACTACACCATTGGTTAGTTACCCCAAAAATAGAGATGCAGAGGCATTGCAGAGACATAATCTCTGTCAAGAATGTAGTAAAGCATATAGAATAATTTAATCCAGGAGGTGCAATTGCATTTAATCTGTAAATCCAGTCCACCTCAATTTGGAATATATGTTGTTCAAAATCCCCCCCCCCCCCCCACGAATGTGGGGGTGTACTCAGGCCAGGGCAAAAAAATTGTAGTGAATCAATTTGCAGTTGCCTGCAGTATCTTTTCTGAAAAGGTCAGTGGAAATCTTACCATCTAAATCTTTGTAAAGTGTTAAATCCAAAAAAGGTAAAGATGAACTGTGAAAATTGAAAGCGATTTGGAGGTTCCATTTATTGATCTTTAAACAATTTGACTCAAGCAATGAATCTTTATATCCTCTCCAATCAATATATCATCAATATATCTTCTCCATAATGATACATGCTGGAGATACTATATCATATCCGAACTAAAAATCAACCGCTCCCCCCTCCAGGTACAGGTTGGCATACAACGGGGCACAGGTAGTCCCCATCGCTACCCCCTGCACCTGGGGGTAGTGGGAGCGGTCAAAAATAAAAGTATGTCAAAATGAATTCCAGTTATTCCAAGATAAAGGTGTTATATAGGTAGTCTTTACTTTCCCTCAGAAAAGTTCCTGTCACTTGTATGTCTCTTTCATGCAGAATGCCATCAATAGATGCCAATATGGTATGTTGATCCACAACTAGTCCTTCCAAAATAGTCAACAAATGAATTGTGTCCTTGGGATGGCAGACTTTCGACATGGGGGCGAAGGTGGTCATGTACAATATGACTCGCCCTAGATGTCAGACTATTTCTCCCAGATACTATTGGGCGACCCGGGAGGAATCAATTAATCTTTTATGGGTTTTCGGTAACGCATAGAATGTCGGTGTGATTGGGTGTGTGATTTTCAAAAAATCCTGGGTCGCTTTAGGGATGATAGACTGTACATATGCCCTATCAATAATTTTGAAGAGAGAATTTTGGAATGATGCGCTAGAAATGGGTGAGAGGTCTGTACCAAGACATATTTCTGAAAATATTTTCACACATAGACATACTGCTCTTGAGTCATAAAGACTACATTTCCTCCCACATCTGAAGGTTTACTTACCAAATAATGGAGTTTCTATAGGTTTGACAAAGCATCAAATTCACCTTTTCGTAAGATTAAACCATATATCTTTACGTTGTAAACATTCAATGTCACCAATTTGAGAAACAGATCCATTTTAGGATTAGTCTGAGTGGAAAAGCTTTTTGGTTTTTCCTATGTCGGTAAACATATGGCTGAAAGTTTGTCCTGTGTGTTCACGCATAAATCTTGATCTTGTAGCAGATCAGGGATCTCTACTGCCCCACTTTCCTGTTCCAACTCTGTCAGGGTTTTAAGGTCCTTATAATCTGTGCATGTGTAGTCACGCCAATGGGTAATTGTGCCACCTAGTGGTAGTTTGCGATTTTTATATTTAGGGCTCTCAATAAAGTTTTTATAATTCAATTTGTAAAGGAACCGATTCAAATCTGATTGTATGAAAAGTATCCGCATTCATATTTGGACAGAAATTAAGACCCAACTTTAAAAGATTATACTCAGAAGTGAATAAAAAGTAAGTTAGATTTATGACTTGAAAGTCACTGTCCTACATTGGTTTAGATGTGTTGCACGTTAAACTGAGTGCATCTGTGAATTGTATGTGTTGGGATAGCCTCTGTCTTTGTGATTGGGATTGGATTCTAAAAATTCTTCCTCTTCAGTGTTCTGAGATTTGTAAAGGTCCATGGACCCTGCTGCTGACTGCATGTTATTAGTGGAATAATCACCAAACCTACTCCCTGGGTGTTTGTGGTGTTTGACCGGATTGGTAATTCTGGATGGTGGACTCTTCAGTTTAGTTACCCCTAGAGACTGCTTGTGTTCAGCACTCCCACCTATTTGACCACCACCAAACCTTATTAGAGTATGCCCCTGTATGCCCTAATGGTCATCCTCTTTGACGTGTTGTGCCCTGGGAAGAAAGAACTGAAGATGTGGTTGACTTATCTGCAATATAGCCATCCATTTTGGAAAAAAATGATCTGTTACGTCTCAAACTGTGCCATTTATAGGCGTGACCTGTCTGGAAAGCAATTAAATCCTTTGTGAATTTTTATCTTTACCGGAGCTGTCCATTAAAGTCCTCAATTGTTTTTCTAAGTTTAGAGTCCTGATGTTATAAGATAGAACCTCCAAAAAAATGTTTTAACTTCTCTGAGATTTGTTGAATCTCAACATCAAGTCTAATGATTTCATTGTCATTGTGTTGTTTTAACATATCAAGCATATTAACTACTTGCCAACCGCAGATAGCCGAATGACGGCTACACTGCGGTCGGCCAGTCCTGGGAGGGTGTCCTCCCAGAACGCACTCTCCTGCGCGCTCCCGGCGATCTCCGTGATCGCGGTGTACTACGGACAAAGCTGATCACGTGATGTGGTAAAAGGCCAATTACAGCGGCCTTTTACCACGTGATCAGCCACATCCAATGACACGCTGATCACCGGGAAATGCAATTGCCGGTTCTCGGCTGCACTTCCCTCAGTGTCAGAGCGTGAGGAAAGTACTGCTGAGAACCGGCAGTTGTCAGAGCAGGGATCAGCACACCAATCATCAGGGCACTGATGATCAGTGCCCTCATGATTGGTGCCCAGCAGTGCCACCCACCTGTGCCACCCAGCAGTGCCACACAGCTGTGCCCAGAAGTGCCACCTACCTGTGCCCACCAGTGCTACCCACCTGTTCCGACTAATAGAACCCAGCAGTGCTGCCAGTCAGTGCCACCAGTCAATGCCTAGCAGTGATGCCAGTCAGTGCCACCTATCCGTGACACCTCATTAGTGCTGCCTATCAGTGCCCATCAGTACCGCCTATTAGTGCCCATCAGTGCAGCCTCATCAACGCATATCAGTGAAGGAGAAAAATTACCTGTTTGAAAAATTTTATAATCGAAACAAAGAAACTTTTTTTTTTTTTTTTGCAAATTTTTTTGCACCTTTTTTGTTTATAGCGCAAATAGTAAAGTGCCCAGCAATGATTAAATACCACCAAAAGAAAGATCTATTTGTGAGAAAAAAAAAGATAAAAATTTCATATGGGTACAATTCTTGCATGACCACACAATTGTCAAAGTGCGACAGCGCAGAAAGATGAAAATTGGCCTGGTAAAGAAGGGGGTATAAGTGCCCGGTAGGCAAGTGGTTAAGGGAACATTACATTTTTTTTCCCATTTATTTTTTAAATCTGAGTGAAGGGTTTTGAATCATTTGGAAACAACTGTATTCTTAAAGCAATGGAATTGTCTTATCCCTGATTCACACATTTGCGGTGCGGATTGAAGCTCAGGTTTCACAGCTAATTGATACAGTAACTGCTCATGTCAGGTTTACATCTGGTTCAGGACAGGATTAGCTCAGGATCTTATCCTTTTTTACACATATACAGTTTAGGAATGGTTTTCATTGAAGTCAATAGCCTGTGGTCCACACCAGAACCTGAAGCCACTGCTCAGAAATCAGGCATGACTCTTTTTAAAAGTGCACTGAATCTGCACTGCCAATGCACTGGACATATGTGAACAGGCACTATAGGAAGCAATGTTTTTTCACATGTCATGCAGATTGGATGCGGTTCAAACTACTAATAATCTACATAGTATATGTGAACAGGCACTTAGCCTCCAGATGTTGCTTAAAATAAAAACTATGCCAGTAGAACCTAGACTTTTTTGTTCTAACAGTTGTTTTAATTGCAATATATACACCGTAATCTTGTTATCAATTTTTTGGAATCCTACAGCTTTGATTTTTATCTCTTCAGCAAAGCCTGCCTAACCTGGACCAATAAACTCTGCCATTGTATAAATGGTATAAAGCACCTTTGCAACCAAGGACTATTAAAGGTATATCCATAAAAGAGATTCCTAGAAAATAATTTATCAAATAGATGCCCTGTTAGGGACTTATCCAAATGTATGTGCCCACCTCACATACTCACCAAGGTGTTTCCCACCAACATAGCACAATTGTTAAAATACACAAATAAGTGAGGCTGTATATACAGCATTAGTGAGGTGAGATATATATGCCTTTACCAAGGGGGGGGGGGTCACCACCAGGGGTGGACTGACCATTTGGAAACTCTGGCACTGCCCAGGGTCAGTAGGGGGCCCCATGAGATGCCCCTGGTACCTTTTTCATAGGCTTTTTGAGTTTGGGCAAGGACACAGGGGCCCCATGATCCCTTATTGCCCGGGGGCCCCATGATTTGTAAGTCCGCCCCGGGTCACAACCCTAGAAATTAATATACCTATGGGTATATGCTTAACAAAAATCAAAAGTAACAACTATAGCTGTATAAAATGTTTCTATTATTCGTTGGCATTTTCATTTCTAGGGTGGTGACACCCCCCCCCCTTCCCTGGTGTAGGCTTATATATTTCCCCTCACTAATGCTGTATATACAGCCTCACCTTATTTCTGTATTTTAACACTTTAACTTTAGTAGTCCTTTAAGTAGTCATAATAGTGAATATTACCCGCTTCCCCGCTGCTTTATAGCAGAAATACTGCTGCAGGACTGTGCAAAATCACGCGTGTGTGTGTATATACATGATTCGCATTTATGGGTAGGAAGCACGCACCACCATTGGCGGCTACAGATGCCAAAGACTGGGTCCCGGCCAGTGATTCCCCGCCAGCACCCGGTGATTGCTGACATGGGACAGACCTGTGTGTGAACAACACAGATCTCTCTCCTGACAGCAGTAACATGCTGCTGCGCATTTTTCTGCACAGCAGCATGTTTCCCTAGTGAAACACACACAGCCTATTATGTTAAACAGCACACAGTTAACCCTTTGATCGCCCCAGAAGTTAACCCCTTCCTGCTCAGTGTCATTAGTACAGTGTCAGTGCTTTTTATTATCATTGATTACTGTATTAGTGTCATTGGGATGTCAGTGACAGTCAGTTCCCACCCAGTGTCAAAATGCCCTCTGCAGTCCCACTATAAGTCGCTGATCACTGCCATTACTAGTATGAAAAAAAAATTAAAATTCCAGTGTGTGTATATATACTGCCATCTGTAGACTTTTAACTTTCATGTAAACCAATTAATTTAGGTGTATTGGGATTTTGTTTTTAGCAAAGACATGTACTGTAGCAGAATACATTTTGGCCTAAATTTTAAATGAAAATTGATTTTTTTTTTTAATTTTACTGATTATATTTTCTAGCAAAAAGTCAAAAATATTTGTTTTTTTTTTTACATCAAAATTGTCAGTTTTTTTTGTTTTTAGCGCAAAAAATAAAAACCGTACAGGTGATCAAATACCACCGAAAGAAAGCTCTATTTGTGGGAAAAAAAGGCCGTATATTTAATTTATGTACAGCGATGCATGACCGCGCAATTGTTAAAGTAACGCAGCACCGCATTGCAAAAAATGGCCTGGTCAGGAAGGGGGGGGGGGGGGTAAATTCTCTGGAGGGCAAGTGGTTAAAGAAATCTCTAGCTTTTCCTTCTAGCTAGATATAAGGATACAAAATATTTATAAATGTCTCCTAATTTCTGGAAGAAATAAAAATATTTTTAAAAATGACTGCTTTCCATTTTAGCTCGGGTTCACACTGGATCCAACTTTGAAATCGGGCAACTTCACTTGAAGTCACCTGATTTCAAAGTCACATGTCAGTGCAACTTCAGGTGTGACTTGGCAGAGATCTGTGCGAATGTATGCACAGATATCTATGCAAGTCGCACCTGAAATCGCAAAAATTAGTGCAGGAACTTCTTTCAAAGTTTGAATGGTTTCATTGCTGACAATAGAGTGTGAATTGTCATGCGATTTGAAACTGTCAAATCGCATGACAAGTTGCATTAGTGTGAACCAAAGAAACAAAGATAAGATATGCACAAAATTACAATGCATGTATACAGTTATTCCTCTAGCTTGCTATTTGCCAGACATTGAATTGAGCAGCGTTCAGAATTCCCCACTTACCTCTTTTTACAGTTGCAGCATTGAATTCTGCAGAGGAAGTGGGGTCACGGGTCATTGATTTACACAATGTATGGAATATTTCATACAGAGAGTGTACAATGAAATAATATGTGCTCATGACCTTGCTGCTTTCAATTTGTATCCTGCAGGGCCTGGGGTATTCATTGAGAGTTTTTTTTATGAGACTTGTAGGCATTATTGACTCCAAAGGACACAACTGTTTCTCCTCTGGAATAATGTGTCCCAAGTAGAAGACAGATAGATTTGGGGGTATAACATCTTAGTGTCATCTGGGAGCAATTGAAAGTAAATGAAGGTCAATTACATCACTTTGGAGCTGTGTGCAGTCTGGAGTCGGCTTGACCAGGAATGACATCATCAGAGTCAATGTGCAAACTTCCATGTCTCAGGCTTCACAAGTTCAGTGTTTACTTTGGAAAACAGTTAACAATGAGACAATCGTTGCTGATAGACTGCTTTTTGCCTAAACTCCATATGCATCATGGAAAAGTGTACACCCCTCTACTGGAAAGAGCTTTCTGTCTCTTTGCAATCTGTTAACAGCTCTGTGTTATAAGGCACAAGAGTTGACTCTAGAAAGTCTGAGGATCAGGATGTCAGCTGTACTTCGCTGCTTTGTTCTTTGCCTTGTTAAGGATTAGGTAGTATTTTGTGTTCTAAAGAAAGCAGAAAATAAAGCTAAAACTATGCACAAGGGGCAGTGATCATTAAAGAAATCCTTTTAGCCTGCAGAAGTCAGTGATAGAAGAAAATGTACCACTTGTCAGTGGGTCAGATCTTCGCACCAGTAACCACTACTATTGGATTCTTCTGGATGTTTAAGCCGGTCCCCTGCTGGGATCTGTGGTGCTTTTGGCCACTATGTCACTGCTTAACCTGTAGTGAGGTAATCTGTATCAGGCTGAATGATGCTTTCCTAGCCTCTGCTGCCTAGGGCTCTTTCAGATGGCTGATTAATCCCATTCTCCATGTAAACCCGCTGACAGGTGTGTGTGTTCAGACAGCCCATTGAAGTGGATGCAGCAGATGCACTGGCACCACCGGCACAATCACATGTCAAAGTTTGCACAAATCTGAATGCACAGTCTCTACCTTCAGATCTGTGCACAGCTCCTGCCCTTATGTCACATTTTGACATTCAATTGTGTCTGTGCAGCTCTGTGGGCTGCCTGCATGCAGCTCCAAGGTAGATGCATATACTTCTGCCAGCAGCTCTGTGCGGATGACAGGTTTAAAGTAGTTGTAGAGCCTTGTGTGCTTTTTTTTATTATTAAAATAATAATTATGTCATACTTACCTGCTGTGTGCAGTGATTTTGCCCAGAGCAGCCCCAATCCTCTTTCTCAAGCTCCTGGCTCCTCTTCATCCAGTGCCCCCATAGGAAGTGGCTTCCTATGGGGCACTCGCTCCCGATCTCTACTGCCTGTGTCTAATGACACAAACATTAGGACTGGGCCCCACCCCTGCTCTCTTGTCAGAGTTGACAGCAGCGGGAGCCAATGGCTTCCATTGCTATTGATCTGTTTTGTTAGGAGGGACAAAGCCACAAGAGCTGCTGCTCTCATGCACAGTGCTGAATCGCAATGGAACTCAGAAAAGTTTATAAGAGGGCTGGGGGGGATCCCAGGCACAGAAGGTTTTTTACCTTAATGCATAGAAAGCATTAAGGTAAAAAAACATTATAACTCTTTAAATATATGCAGGGATACTAGGTTGCACCTGTTTACATTGGGATGCCATTAAAGTTCATGTGCGTGTAAAGGCAGGCATCCAAATACTTTGCATACATTTAAAAACCAGTACTTTTTGTAGAAAATTACTTAGAACCCCCAAACACCTACACA